TCTGAGCAGAAAATGAAATGTTTTGTCTTGAGGGAATACTATTCTCATAGTTTATAAAATTGGCAGTTCTTCTTTTATATATTTTCCACTGGAATGAAAAAACAGCTTAAGTATGTTACAATTGTTTCAGCAAAGTTAGAAGTTTGATTGTATTTACGAATGCTGGCCCATTTGTGGCCACTTGCAACTAACTCTACCACCGTCAAGGTGTAATTGAGTTAGGGTTCGCGGAGTGCCTCTTCACGAAATAGAATCTCAAAATTAGCCATCTGGCAGACACTCTGTTAAACCCTAGAAGTAGAAATCTCTCTTGCAAAAAAAAAAGAACAGTAACACCCTACACCAGTTTTTATTTCTATTCATCTCCCAAGTGTGACCCTGGGATCCTGAAATATTCACAAAATAACTTTGCAGACATAAGGAATTCTCTAGTAAACCTTACTATTACCTGCACGAATTGCTGACCAGGCCCTTCAATATCACACAGGAATCTCTGATTCAAGTGTACTGGTTATAAATTATTCTCTATATTGCTTCTGAATCAATGGAAATGCAATCACCATAAAAATTCAGAGAACCAAGTTCCCTTTTCTCACAAAATTGATGTTGTGGTCAACAAAGGTGCTTTCACTGGGAAGGCTGACAGCTCTCACGCTGGTCCTAAGAGACAGTGACATTTGGGATGAGATATCTCCTGGACGCCAGCCCATCAGTATCCTGTCCCCACCCATTTAACATCCTCAGTCACGGGGACAAGCAATCACACACTTTTAAGTTACCATTTTGCTTTTGGGAGAGAACTGTTCCTAGTCAAAAACAGTACATAGACGCTCTGAACCAGTGGTTCTCAACCTTCCTCATGCCGCAACCCTTTCATATAGTTCCGCATGCTGTGGTGACCCCAACCATAAAATTATTTCCGTTGCTACTTCTTAACTGTAATTTTGCTACTGTTATGAATCGGGTGACCCCTCTGAAAGGGTTGTTAGGCCCCCAAAGAGGTCATGACCGACAGGTTGAGAGTCACTGCCTTAAACCATTTAATGTTCTAATTACAAAGACAGGTTAACTGTCTACCTGAGGTAGAATAAATGACATAGGCCCTGCTCTTGGATCGAAAGATCGTGTCTTAAAGTCTATTGAAGACACCATGTCAGGTCACCCAAAGTAACAGCCGAGCAGAGTCTATGAGAAATGGAGTACATCGTCACCCATATTGGAGGAGAGTTCCAAGTGACTTAACCTTTCCCAGTGTGCCTTAAAGGAGCACAGTTCGTAAAGGTAATGGGCTGGATGGTGTGGGGAAAAGAACCAATCTTTCCAGTCAGAGGGATGTGGTTCCAAGCCCACAGGTGAAGCCTACTCCTCACGGGACTTAAGGTAAATTATTCTTTCCAGTCAATCAGTCTAGATTCATCTCTGCATCTCCCGCCCTAACTGCTCTGCATATGGAAATATCATCTACGAGGACTCCTTAGAGATCATTAAAAGTTTTATCTACTCTGAAGACCTACTCGTTCTCCCAGTTTCATCCTTCCAGTGATTCTGGAAGCTCCTTGAGCACTCAGCAACAAGCATGTGGCCAGGATCGCAAGCCGGGATCCACAAGTCTCTAAGAGTTTCTTGACTTTCCTATGAAAATGTCAAAGTGGCTTGCAATTCCTATGTAATCTAAAATAAATTAATATAAGCTCTTCCTGGATCTGACCATCCACTCAAGCTCCAAGTTGTTGTTGTCAGTGAGTCCATTCTGACTGTGAGTGCCCCCCGCCTCCACCGCACCCGGCGTTGTGCAAGGCAGAACTACTCTGTGAGTTTTAGTTGTTTTAAGCAGAATGCCAGGCCTGGCTCTGGAGGAACCTCTCTGTAGGATTGACCTGCCAACATTTTGGATAGTCTAGTCCTTAACCATTTGAAGCCCCAACTGAACCCTTAAGCCATAAGTACTCCTGAACTATTCCAGTGTCCACACCTGCGTTTGTGCACGGTGTTGATGCAAACAGACCTTCTTCATAGAGCGAAGGTTCGTGAGGCAAAAGGCAGCAGCAACTTCAGTACATAAATGATGTGTTACAACTATGTCAAGTCCAGAAATCTCAGCGCATACCACAGCAACAAACGCATCCCTAGGGTAAAAACAAAGAAATGCCAGGGAACACAAATCATAGCACAGTGCAGAGTAGGACAGTCCTGGTAACCCCATTGATCATCTATTTGTCCTGGTTGATAGCATATATTTTGCGAACATTTTGCCAAACCAAGGCAATGTTGCAAATTGAATTTATTGACCAGGGGTGGGCTTTTTCCCCTTCTGTTATTAAGAATTCATATCCAGTTATGCATTTGTACATAATAACAGGAGCCCTGGTGTCCTAGTGGGCTAGCAGTGGGCCTGCAGTTAGCAGTTAGTTTGAAACCACCAGCCACATGGTGGGAGAAAGACAAGGCTTTTCAGTCCTATGAAAAGTTACTCTCGGGAACCCACAGTGGCAGTTCTACCTTGTCCAGTAGGGTTGCTGAATCAGAATCAACTCAGTGGCAGTGAGTTGGTTTTTATTTTCCTTTGGGGACCATAACAACAAGTTTACATAATAAAATTCACAGAGGGAAGTACTAGTAGCGAAGAGGGCTATACAGGCAAGATTGAGAAGCAGTGCTTTTCGATTCATTGTCAATACACTAAAAAATCAGAATACACACTAACAACTCTTAATGAATGTTAAGGGGCCTGCTGACTCATTCAGATGCAACAGAGGACTTGACTGGAAAATAACTATGTGACCTTCAACACACGTCTTTAAACTTGTCTGTCTGGCAGTCAGATGGGGATATGACAACACAGGTAGGTCATGAGCATATGTAATATTATTAATAAAAAGTACTTTGCAAACTGCCAAGTGCTAGGTGCCTGGTAGATGTTAGTGCTACTATTTTAAAGTAGTCCCTGTTTCTCATGGCTCCTTGAGGAAAAGGGCCCTTCTTTCACTCTTCTTTACCTCCTGGCACGCCAAAGGCTCTGCATCTAAAGCCACCAGTACAAAGTGCGAAGAGGAGCAGTCAAAATGCCCTTACCTCTGAAATAAGAGCCCAGTGACAAATCGCAGTTCTGTTTCCAATCTTGTTAACACCGGGGTGTGGTGTTACTGGGGCATTCATACTACATTGAGCATTTCCATTTGTTTCATTAAACTTTCAATACAGGCTTTGTTTGCTATGTCCTTGAAAAGAAAGATCTGAGCTCACTGAAAACAACACACCCACACACAGGATTATCCGAGATCCTCTTAACATCTGGCAAATTATTAAAAAGACGAGAACAAAATTAAGCATTCATATAGGCACCATACAAATTTTCATTGTCAAAAAGCCACAAAGTTGTCACTCTCTGGAAAAGATGATGAGCACTGAGAAGTGGCACGTAGACTAGTTACTAGAGTGATTCGCTCCAGCCAGAAGAGAGTAGATTTGAGCAGTGCCTAAAAAGCCAAAAGAGGGGCAGGGTAAGGGGCAGGGTAAGGGGCAGGGCGGCTCACGGAGCAATGCTGAAATCAACCTGAAATCTGCCCGCCTAGTCCTTTCTAATACTGACTCTCAAATTTCCCAAGTGTGCTTCCAAGTTGTTTGAATCAACTTGGAATTTCTTTTAAATACTGCTTTCATGTAATCCAAGATTGTTAGTGTTGTTAGCTTCAGTGAGAGCAGGTGTCATGGGCTGTCTGTTCACCCCTGCAGACATTGTGACTGGGACCAGTGAGACTTCAAAACTATTTTTATGTACTATTAGCTTTGCATCTCAAGACTGCCTTTAAAAATCAGATATAACTGAAACCTCCCAGGAGAATAACCAATGATAACTGGGAACTTGGAAAGATGTGATATTTTATTAACAGCCAGGCACACTGAAAGCGTTTCACAGGTAGAGAAAGTGAGGCGCATCTAAACCACACAGTCAAATCACAAAGCCTGGACGGTCATGGACCCCAGGTCAGAAAGTTTCCTGTTCATGTTACTTCGAAGGCCACCACCAACACCTTAAAATCTTAAGTACTATAGGGTGGCTCAACTCTGCCAGAGAGCATCCTTCCATCCCCACGTGATACAAGTCTTCCTGTGCCAACTGGGCGTGGGGAGGGGTGAGGGTCTCTTTATTATGAAACGCTGAAACCAGCACACTGCGTGTTTCTGAACCTTCTTCCCCTTTCTGAGTGTAGGGAAAGGTTTAGGAAAGACTTTAAAGGAGACAAATCTAAAATTTTCAACTTTACAGCAGGTGGAGAAATAAAAAGGACTGCAGAAGAAGGGTGCGTTTTCTGTCACTGAAACCAAGGCAGCTTCAGTCCTGGTTTGGGGGTTCTGCTTGGGAACTTGAGGCTGGTGTTTCCGAAACGAGAAGGGCTGCCTCACTTAAATGTCCGTGACTGGTAAATGAAACTCGCGATGGTTTAATATTTTGATAAAGTCCTGACAACTTCGTTTCACGCTTTTTTTTTTTTAAATCATTCTTGGAACATTTCAGTGAGATGGCAAAATGCCAAATTAAAGGGCAAGGCTCCAAAGCTTTTCCTTTGCTCCCCGGACCCTTACCCAAGTGGTTTTCTGATCGTGCCCTCGCCTTTGCTGATTGGCACGCGCAGCTCACAACTGTTTCCCATTAGGGCCGGCAGTGCGCCGGGGAAATGGCTTTTGACCGAACTTCGGGAGCAGACGCGCGCGAACAGGAACAGAAGGGGGAGGGGCGGGCGGCGAGCAGCTAGGTGCGCGGCTGAGCCGGCTGGAAAGCACACGTCCTCGGTCAGGAACTTGACCCAGGTTACACAGATTTAAGGAAGGATGGTGCGGCACACGGGGAACTAGCGAGGAGGAAGAAAGTTTAGGAATGAGGGAAAGAGAACACGAAGTGGGAAGTAAGCTGCACCCCAGCACTTGAGCGACCTGCAGGAGATGGCCAGGCCAGAAGCGAGCGTCGGCGCGGACCACCCCCTCAACCCTGCGGTTCCCACCTGGCAGCACCCCGGCTCGGAGCCGGAGTCTGGATGGTCCCTGGCCTCTCCTCTTCCTCTTCCTTGTCCCGGGAAGGGCTTCGGGGAGCGAAGAACCGGGAGAAGCTGTGCCAGGGGGCGCCGCCCCTCCTCCTGTTGCCGGACATCTCTCTGGGGCGGCCACCGACTCGGAGTCGTCGGCTGGGAGCTGGCGAGGCGAAGCCGTGCGTCGG